AAAAATTCTAGCACAGCCTGGTCAATTTAAGCAACAGATAGCGAGAGCTTGTGCGTGAAAAGTGTGTGTTCAATTCCCAGTACCAAAATCATACCATCATCATTACCATCACTATCTTAACGGCACCCTCCCAGGCGGCTGTCCAAGTGAGACGCTGAAGTGTGAAAGGAACCTGGCTTGCAATAGCCACCTGAGGCCCACAGATGCTGTTGTCCCTACAGCCTTTGCAAGCGCTTTAGAGTGCAGACCCCATAGCAATGGTGCTGCGGGCCCAGCTGGGGCAGAGCTGAGTCAGATGGGGACAGCCTGGCCTGATCCCCGCCCAGAGGCTCCATTCAGCCTGGGTCCCTGCCGGGCTGAAGATCCATGAGGTGGGGTGGGACTTGCTGGAGGCTGCACTGTCCTTCCTGAGCAGCAGCCACCCAGCCACTAGGGATGACCGTGGAGTCTGGATTTCCCAGCGCACCTTGAGCCTGGGGTGTTGCTCTTTCCCTGGCATGGTGGCTGTACCTGCAGCAAGTGTGATCCCAGCTCCTTGGCAACACTGTCCAGGGGCCCGGTGTGGCTCGGCTGTCCCCATGCGTCTCCTAAACCTGGACAGAGAAATAAAACCACTAAGTGGCAGTGTCCAGCAAACACAAGGGTGCAGGAGCCTCCACACATGCACCACCATCCTAGGTATCCGCACCAGCCCCTTGCCTAGCAGGCTCAAGTCTGTGTCCTCATAGTTGTCCCTTAGCCCTCTGAAAAAGGTATAATAGCATTTGTCAGTAATTCCCAGAACTTGAGAGGCTGAGGCAGGAAGATCGCCCTGAGACCAGCCTGCCTATGTAGTGAGTTCAAGGCCAGCCTGGTTTATAGTGAGATCCTGTCTCAATATAGATATAGTGTCTTACAATACATACATACAGATAGACAGACAGACAGAATATGCCCCTGTGCACTGAGCCTTCCAGGCCAACCACTCCCTCCAGTCACCCAGCTCTGAAATTGCTGTTTTATTTGAAACACCACAAAGTAATCTAATCTGCTTTGAAATTGGACATCCTCGTCACCAAATGGGAATATCGATTTGACCCATAAATATTCCCCCCAAGGACCTCCCTCTCCCAATCGCTGGCAGCTCTGCCTTTTCCCAGAGATGCCTAAGAGCCACTTGCATCCCACAGCAGCTTTTCTAGATAATAGAAAGAATTCCCACCAAGATGCCCCTGGGGATCTCAGCACTCCCAGACTCCCTCCTTGGCTGCTGTCCCCTCCTAGAGCTCTGAGCTCTGAAGAGCCCCAGGTGGTGACAGCCACACTGGGACTGTAACTGGGAAGTGTCCTCACCAAATCAAACCCTCCAAAAGCACCAGCCCTTCCCCAACACCCAGACACCACCAGAGACTTGCATCAGAGACCCTGCTCCCAGCTTCAGACCAGGCCAGAGCAGGCAGAGGAAGAACCTTCACCCTCTCCCTGAACCCTCCCACTGGCAGCCTGGGCCAGGCCTCTGTAGTTAGTGCAGAGTGGCAAAGGCTGGAGAAAGGCTTCCTGGCCGGCAGCCCCAGCCCCATGGGCAGAGCATGCCTGTGCCCTCATACACTTGCGGGGTGCAGGACGCATCCAGGCTGGCGGATGAGGCCCTGATGGCGCATCCTCCTGGAACTGCTGCCCAGGTTTGTGCCCCAGTATCCAACCTCAAGTCAGGAGCCACTAGGAATAGGGGCGGGGGTGTGGATGGCCAGGGCTCCTTGGATTCTGGATGTTACATCCAGCTGAAAATTCACCTTCTGTTCTAGGTGTCCTTTGCAGACACCTCTTGGAAAATATTTAGCAACTTTTTTAAAAAAAGGATGATCTTTAATATCTGCTCCCGGATTTTAGGAAACAGGAGCTAATCCTGATTCCTAATCCACGAGGAAGTGCCGACTTCCACAAATCCCAATTCCCCAAACATGAGGGGAGTTCATTTTCCATGGCCCCTCTGCCTCCTGTGTATGGCAGTGGCTTCATAACCCCAGGACATGGGTCCCACCCCAAGCTCTACCACTGTGACCCCAATTTGCTCAGGCCCTGTTCAGGAAGCCTGCTGGTGGTGACCCTTACCTCCATTTAAACCAAAACAGAAGAAATAAAAATATAACTGGTCCCCAGGTTTGGATGAAGAATGAATTTAATAAAGATCCAGGAAATCTGCTTTTGGGAAATAAACACATGTGGCCTGGCAACTGTGGCTCTCTGGACTACCCTGGGTCCTTCTGGGTTTGCCTTTGAGGTTCAAAGGTGAGCACAGCCTCCTGACCTCTGGCTTCTTTCTCCCAGGATCCCCAGCTGGAAGGCTTGGGGATAGCTCTGTCTTTGAGAATGGTCTCCAGACCAGACTTCCTTGCTGGACTCTCAAGACCCTCATGAAGGCTCTGGCTCTATACTCAATAGGTCCCGGGCACACAGGACGATTTTCCATACAATTCAAATACCCAGGTATTGTTCACTTACATCACCATGCTTTTTTGCTGGGACTTCTGAAGGCTTCAGCTTTGCCAACAGAGATTAGCATGAATGCCCTTAATGGATCTGGCAGAAGGTAGCCTGGTGGCCCGAGACAGTTCCACCACACACTCCCGTCCTGTGCCACTGCACCCCAAGGCAGTGGCGCTGCCAGCTCTTCCATTAGGAACTACCTTGGGTGAGGTCTTTGCACTCGGCCCATAAAAATCTACTTTGGGCTGAATGCAGACTGAATAAAGTTTTAACAACAACAAAAAATCATCTTGGTACTGTAAAGCTGCAGGCACTCCAGAAAGGGCTCTGTGCATGTGGCCCTTGTTCAGCTCTAACAAAGGGATTTATTTATTTGAAAAGTAGGCGGGTGCAGCGAAAGGCTGGCTAAGCTTCTGGGGATGGTTGGTCTTTAGAAACAGCCATGGCTAGGCTCTCCCAGCCCTATCTGCCTCCACTGGGCAGGTTGGAGATCCCAGGCTACTGAAAATTGCAGGGAGCCATAAGGGGAGCCTGTCTATGCCCATTTCTGCCAGTTAGCCTCAAGGCACCCATGGCTTGCCCCCAGAGTTTATGCACTTGGTATCAAAAACCATCTTCTGCAAAAGCTGGCTAAATTTGATCTCTCCCCTCAGGCTACTTAGTCAATCATCAAATAGCTCCACAGCAGCTAAATGGGACCCTAGCAGGTCGAAAATGCAGGTCAGAGGTGGTAGCCAAGGGACCACAGGTCGAAGGTGGTTTGGGAAGGGAAGGGAGCTGATTCCTGTCCTCCTCTGCATCAGCCGGCAGACCCTAGCAATGACCTTTCTCTGTCTCAGAGTGAGAGCTGGGGAGAGACAGCCACTCTTACACTCCACTCTCTTCAGCCTCGGTGACCTAAAAAACAAGGTTAATAATCAGGAGACGCCTGTCTCCACCCGATCCTTCCACAGAAAGTTAGATTACATTGAAAAATCCAGGACAGATTTGGGGAGCCCTCTCCAGCCCTACGAGTCTCACCTTCACCTACACATCTTTTAAGAGGCCCAGTCAGCTGCAGGGCCTGACATCCAGACAGTGCCGGGACCTCTGATCCTTACTTCTGGCACCTGATATGGGATTGCTGTGGGGTCAGGAACCTGTCCCTCCATCCTGACTCTCCCTTCCCTCTCCTGGCCAGCTGGGTCCCAGCCTCCCTCCAGGACAAGCACCCTGTGAGGGGATGTCCCTGCAGATGTGTGCAGCTGGTCAGTTCGGGTGCAAGGCCATCCTTTGGAATGGACTTCACACCACTCCAAAGTGGGCTCGGGAACAGAGGGACCGCAGGGCTGCTGGGTCCTCTGGCCAACCAAGCGTACAAGGGCACTCGCAGAGAGGAGGCTGAGTGTGAAGGCTGATGCCTCTCCAGCCTCTCCAGCCTCAGTCCACTGACAAGTGGGGTCATGGGCTTGGGGGCTCCTTCCTAGAGCTATTGAGTGCCCTGAGCCTGTAGGAGGATATCTGGGGCTGCTGTCCTAGTAGAGCCTACAGCTTGTGCCTCTCATAAGCAATTCCCCTGGACCTCTTCTGCTCTTTCCCGGGTCCCTAAAAAATCCTCCCCTGAAGCCTCTTTTCAGTCAACAGGCCAGACACAGATATAGAAAGGGTACAGGAAAGACACCCCAAGATAATCTCCCAAGCTGGCAGACAAGAGAGGAGGAGACTCCAAGTCCAGATGCCTCAGGTTAGGATCATGCTTGTGTAGACGTAGGGGCGCAGCAGACACCAAGGCAGCTCCCTGTCTATGCTGTGGGGCTCAGGGTCCTTCTGATCCCCGGGTCCCTAGCTCATGCACCCGGCTCACACTCTGAGGCTGCCACCACCATGCACACCAACACTGACAAGGCTGCTGCCTGGAGTGAGTGCCGCTGCAACTGTGAGCTGCATTTCCTGCTGGGCGGCAGCCACAGAGATGGGGGATGGTTGTTAAATTCTACATTACTCTAAAAAATAAGCCGATTTTTTTTTTAAAGTACATGATTTTGGGCTGTGCTACAGACAGGCCTTGGGTCTAAGACTCCACATTGATATGGGGGATTCCACTCCACCAAACCTTGCTAGTCAACCCCTTTTGATCCATGCAACAACCTAGGAGTATACCTAGCTCAACCTCACAGGGCGCTGTGTTGTGTTACTGAGTGGTAAAGAGACAACAGTTAAAGGGCTGCCAGAAACTGAATTTAAATCTGAACGAATTCAGCCACTGGGATAATCTGGGACTTGAAGGCCCCTTCTTTGTGTGTGTGTGTCTGTGCCTGTGTCTGGATGCGTGACATCTCCTTTTCTTTTGACTATACTATTTTGATAATGTAACACTATCCTTACAGTCCTCTTACACACACACACACACACACACACACACACACACACACCCCTACCTGTCTCAGATCTGTAAAACTGGAAGAGAGGACTACCTTTCTACTTCATTCTTCAGCTGGGACCTTTGGAGGTTCCTTCTCCCCACCATCCCTGGCGGAAAAATCACCCCTTGCTCCACCACTTAGCACCAGCATGGGTACTACTGGGAGGTCCAAGCCCCCCAGGCCTGGGGATGCTGGCCCCAAGCAGCTGCTTGGGGTAAGGCCAGGAGCCAGCAGAACACTTCAGCCTGTGCCTCTGTGAAGGGCTGCAGGGCTGCAAGAGGTACACAGCCCAGAGCCCAGGCACTGCGGCACCCCAGCAGCCTGTGTTTACACACTTCCCAACTGCCTAGTAAGTCACCCAACTTCCACATTCCAACCAATTCCGAAAGGGACCCTGCCGCCCTCCCCCCAGTCCTATCAGCCTCCCCTTCTTAGTTCCGAGGCTGAAGGAGGCTGAAAGAGAGAAATGGTGTTCACCCAAAAACAGCGGGTCCTTAGGCTCTGGGCAGCTGTGCCTTCAGCCCTACATTTAAACTGTACCTAGTCTGGGACGCACCAGGAACCAGAAACTGGGGTAGATTTGTGCCTACACTTTGGGGGCGGGGGTCTTTCTCTGTGTCTTCAGCTGTGTCACAGAAACCGCAGGCAGACATGGACTTGGTAATGCACCCATTTTACAAAAAGACTGAAGCCTTCAACCCACTGTAAGTCTCAAAAGCTTTTGCCAAGCCTGAGGACCAGCTTGCTGGTGGGCGATGTCCCTGGCTCCCAGTCCTGGTGTAGGGACCTTTCTGAACTCTTTATGATGGTCTCTCCGTTACAGAAAAATGACAGGCTGCAATCCACTGTCCCTGCTACGGAATCTTGGGAGAGGGTTGTCCTGTCTCTGGCCACCAATTTCCCCAGGTGGGAAGAGTGTATCTGAAGCTTCCCTTGGTTCCTTAGGACAGTGCCAGTCGTTTTCAGTTTCCTCAGTGCTGGCCTCCGGATTCCTCTTTACCCAGGGCTTCCACTGGCACTGGGCAAAACCTCACTTGGTGCATGCATTCCCTGGTATCTTTCCTACTTTCGATTTGCAGCTGAGAGCAGCAAGCAAACCTGGAGCTCCCACTAGACCGGAGTGGCCAAGACCCTAAAACCATTGTCCTGACCCCAACCTGGGTTCCCTAGGAAAAGTTTAAATCAATTGAAAGACTGCTTTTGAGCCCCTCTTCAGTGTTACTGGGAGCAAGCATGTTATTTTGCATAACAGAGGTCTCGCTGAAAGCGTCCCTCTGCCCTTTATCCCTGGGGCTGACCTGAGGGGTGCGAGTGTTTCAGCCCAGAGGACAGGTCCCAGAGGCTGTGTGGCTCCTCACAGGTTCAGGGCCATTTGCAACCCTCTAGAACCAAACCCTTTCCCAAATGCTGACCTCCTCGGTCACACTCAGGAGATTCAGGTGACCCCTGGATTAGGCAGCTCTTGGACACACCAGCGATGGCACCAACCCACAGCAAGAACACCCCACAGGGACTCAGCGCCCAGCCATTCTGGACCCCAACACCACCGAAAACGAACTTCCAAGAACAGATCCAGCCTGGAGGCCGGCGGCAGTGGCAGCACACGGGCCACTTCCCTGGAAATCCCCCAAACAACGAAAGGCTCACAATGAGCCCAGACCTCCTCTTCTAGCTACTTGCCAATTTATTTGAAATCACTGGCAACACCGCACTTGCTCTTCTGACCATCGCCTTAACCACTCCCTGCCTCCCAAGGCTGGGGAGAAAGGAGACAAGGATAGTTCTTAATGTGCAGCTAAGTGGGCTCAACTGACAGCAGGAGTGGAAAGGAGACTCGGCTTTTACAAAAGTGAATTCGCTTTCACTTATTTTCATTGAAACCTCAGCAACCGGGAAGGATCCCTATTTCTCCGGCCAAGGGTTTACCTTTAGGCAGACAAACAGCAATCGCAGGGGCTGCAACTCTCACGGCAGGGGGAGGGCAGAGGCTTCTACTCAGATCTGATTAGTAACCCTGGGAAACAAGCAACCACCGGTCTACCTCACAAGTTCTGGATGTCCGTGCCCCAGAGGAGAACATCCAGTGTTTGTGTAGCCTGGCCGACCAGGAAGCTCCAAAGAAGCCCAACCACCACTCCAGTGGAGAAGGTTGACAAGTGCACCCGTCACCTGGACAACACAAATAACAGGTGGGATGCGGGGTGGGGAAAGGAGTTCACCGACTTCAGGTCTGTGGCCTGGCTGGGACTGCTTTCAATGGAAATGTCCAGTGGCCCAGAGACACCTATCACCTGTACTTTGCAACCCTCCAGCATCCAGACATCAGAGGTTGTCTATCTAAAAACACTTCTCAGCACCAGGACCTTGGGTTCTGGGGTGCCTACGAAGGCCTCCCCAGCAACAGACTTCTTAGCAGTGTGTCCATATTTCTTAGCCAATCCTCAGAGACTTCGAAGCTGCGGCTTACAGGTCCCTGGCCTAGTGGCCACAGTCACTAGCAGAAGCTGGCTTGTGTGCAGGGACAGCCACCCAGCATGCCACTATTCCCTGCAATTCCCAGTCTGCCTGTCCGCAGGTCTCAGTGACAACTTTTCAGTCTTCAAAAGAAGTGCTATACTTGAATCTGCCATATTCAAAATAATCATTTTGTTTTCTGATGGGCTGGCAGGCGGGCAGTACTCTAACTCACAAATCCAGGATGTATGCATCCCAGCCCCACTCTTCAGCCTAAGGAAAAGGGATCGGAAAAGGCAAACTGAGAGACCGGAGAGTGATGGCCTGGCTGCCTTCCACTAAAGTGCTCAGCTAGGTGGACTCCACCCGCATCACCCAAGCTTGGAGGGGGTGTGCTCCCAGAAAACACAATGAGCTAAACGAAGAAGAGAAGGAAGGAAGAAGGGTAGAAGAAAGAAAAACGAAGGATCAGGGAAGAAGAGGCAAGTTCAGATCAGGGAAGAAGAGGCAAAGACTGACAAAGAACAAAAGAAAAAAATGGGCAAGAAAGATAGAGAAAAAAGAAAAAAGGAAAGAAAAAGAAAATCACACCAGAATGGACTGGCATTAAAAGGAAGAAAAGAAAAAAGGATGGAAAGGAGGAACGAAAGGAGAGGGAGAGAAGAAAGGAGAAATAAAGTCTGCATGGACTGGTGCGCTATTGCCAGCTTTGAGGACACCTGTGCTTAGAACAATTCGTGGTTCCCCTCTCCGGCTCTGGACCAAGAAGTGGTTTGGCTTCCCGGCAGCTACGGAGACGCACCCCCGGAATGGCCTCCCTGAGACTCCCTCGCCTCGGCGCGGAGACCGCGGGGACCCGCAACGGCTCCAGCTTCTCTTGTGGGCCGAGGCCCCAGGGCCCCAGCGCAGTGGACCGCCCGCCTGCGGCCTCACCTTCGGGAAACACAGCGCGCATCTTCAGGTAGCTCGTGGTGAGTCGGATGATGGACGCTTTGTCCAGCTGCGAAGTGATGGCCGACGGCAGCGGGAGCAGCTTGGCCAGCTCGTAAAACTCGCCATTTTCTTTCTCCCTCCTAGTTTTGGCCGCATTCTTGGACTTCTCCTTCATCGCGCCTCGGCTCTGGGCATATTAGGTCGGGCCGCGCTCCAGCCCCGCGCAGTCTTGATGGAGAGGGGGGCGCCGCAGACAGGTGAGTCCGAAGTCCCGGGCGCCGGCCGCGAGCAGTTGCGCGGGTCCGGCCTGGGCGCCGAGACGCCTCCCGCCGCTGCCCGCCCAGAGCTCCGCTCAAAGCGGCCGCGCGCCCTTCCTGCGCCCGGGCCGCACAGTCCCGCGGCGATCGGGACGTCCTGCGTGCTGCCTTCGTGTCCCCCGCCTCGCCTTGCTCTGAGTGCAGTCAGCCGGCGAAGAGCGGCAGAGCTGTTCAGTCCTTCACCGAGTGTGTGCACCCGCTGCCGAGAGGCCCCTTAGCGCGGGAGGGCGGCGAGAGCGGCGGCGGCCGCGGAGCCATGGAGAGGGTCGGAGGCGAGGGCAGCGCGGCGCAGGCGGCTCTCTGATCCTCGCTCCTCGGCTTCCCGCAGTGCCTGGAGACCCGGCGCCCGCTGGAGCGCGCGATCTGCTGCGCGGCGCACGTGCGCCCGGGCGGCGTTTGTTTATGGCGGACCCGCCTTCGGGCGGAGCGCGGGCCGCCGGGGCTGGGGGGAGGGCAGGGAGGGGAGGGACCGCGGCGGGGCGGGGGCGCCAATCTCGCCCCGACCCCGCCGCGGCCTTGGAGTCGCTGGCGCGCCTCCGCCGCGCTACCTCCGGGGACTCTCCCGAGAGAGCAGCGCCCGCCCGGGCTCCGGGAAGTCGGGGTGAGTACGACAAGCGCGAGTGGGAAGCCGATCCAAAGAGAAAGACACTCGGAGACCCAGGCGCTCGGGTGGGCGGCGGGGAGGAGCGAAGCAGGACGGAGAACCGGGTGCCAAGGCCTCCTCTGGTTCTCGCGGAGGTCACTGACGGGCGCGGCCAGAGGAGGCGGCGCGACCCGCCAGCCAAGTGCGCTGCTGGGAAGACAGGTCCTTCAAGCCCGCTCTAGTCCCACACCCGCTCCGCCTCGCAGTGCGTGGGCTGAAAGGCACTAGCCAGAGGACGGCTTACCCCCGCAGCCCCTACACGAGGAAATGGTTCGAGAGGCCCAGAAATGATCCTCTAACCTTTTCTTTTGGAAACACCGGAGCGAAAGAGCAGGGCTTGGGGGCGCGCGACCGGGAGGGAAGAACCAGGGAGCTGGGAGAGCTTGAGGCCTCCGCGCGCGAGCAGAGCCCCCTGCCCAGGCGCTGGCACCTGGGGGCCCTCGAAGCCCCGAGAATTTTGGGGAATCGCACGTTGTTAGGTGGGCGCTGAGCCAGGGTCCCCGGGGACCGTTGGGGGCTCGTATGTGTGTATGTGTGTCGAGGGGAGCCAGATCCAGAAAGGCTCACGCTGTAGACTCAGTCACCGGAAGATTCGTCTCTGTCCCTCTGGGTCAGCGTCTTCTGGTCGCTCTTGCCCGTCTCTTCCCGCTCCCGCAGCCCCGGGCAGGTTTGGACCCAGAGTGCCCTGCACACCTCGCACCGGCATGCACAGAAGCTTAACCCTCCCAGGAGTCTGAGCCCTGGGACGCAGTGTCCCACGAAGCTTCCCGGGCTTTCCAGGGGGACAAACGCGGGGTTCCTTAGGGGTGTGAGATTCCTCTGGGATCTCTTGGCCTTGTGCCCCCGGCGGTAGAGTTTCAGGAGTAGGGGCCTGCGGTTCTCCCATGGAAGACAGCGCCAGAGGGAGGACACAGAGACCCGGGCGTACTGGGATTTTCCTTCCCTGCGCCGCTTGTTTGTCTTTTGGGCCCAGAGTAGCCTGCAGCTTACCTGCTGCCTGTTGGACCCTGGCCGGGTACCCGATCCCTTCTCCCGCCGATGAAGACCGAGCTTTCAACCCCCCTGCCTGCAATAGGCCTCCTGACCTTTTCCGGGTACCCTTGGAAGATCCGAAGTTCGAGGGCGTTGGAGGCGCCGCGGCTTCTCTCCTGAGGCTTGACAGTGCGCGCGCACATCTGTGGGCTCAGCCTCTCCCTGCCAAATCCACCGCGTGGCCCACGCTCACAGGGACAGTGCTTGGACGCCGCAGGAACTACGCTCAGGTGAAAGGCACTTTCCATGGGTGTCGCACACCAGGCTCCCCAGTTTGCAGAAGTAAGCGCGGGGTGAGGGGCCGTGTGCAGTGCACAAACCCAGCACCCCGGCCCAGGTCCTCTCCAGCATCCTGCTCCGCGTTGTAGTAGCCGGCGCTGAGCGGGGACTCCGAGTGAGGAGCGGGGGGCCGCCACGGCTTCCGCAGGCCTCGTGCCCCGAGTGCGCCCCAGCACATCCCTGGCTTCGGGAGGATTTTACGGGAGTCCCACACCCACAGGTTCCCAGCTTCAATTATGGACTCCAGAGAATTCCTCCTCGGCTTGAAAGGGATTACCCAGAACTCAGAAACATGTCTAAGTGGAAGGGGGAGAGAGCCACATAGTAACAAGAAGGAGAAGTTTTCTCAAAAGGAACTTCCCAGATTTGACAGGAAAGCGCGCCTGAGCTCTGACTACCGGGTTTTCACCTCGGCAGCTGCTGTTCTGGCCTCTGCAGCACAAGCATGCGGGTGCGTGCTTAGAAAAGTAGCAAAGCAGAGAGTTTGAAGGCACTGAGATGGTGGATGTGGGTTGCTTCCAGAGCAAAGCCCAGCAGGCAGCTTATTAACCTCTTCCCCAAACAGGCAGTCCCCCACACATAGGACTAAGGGCACCAACAAAAGTGCCCCACGTGCCACAGGTTTCCCAATAGGAAAGATACTGATGACACCTGCTTGACTAGAGAAAGAAAACCTCTGGTCAAGACAACCTTTAGGCTTTTACTGTCCGTGCCAGGGCTTGGGACCATGAGATCAGGACAACGAAGGCCGGTTTGGCATGACATGCGATACCAGGGATCGAACCCGCTAGCTAGGGCAGGCATTTAGACCCCTGAGCTATCTCCGAGGCCCCAACAACAGGAATTCAAAGCACTATTTAAACTGGAAATGCCTGGCAAGTGCAAAGACCTGAGTTTAATCCCTGGTTCCGCAAAATAAATAAATAAATAAATAAATAAATAAATAAATAAATAAAATAAACTGAAAAAGCTCCAAAAGAATGTTAATCGGAGTGATCAGGCATATGAGCAGTGACCGTGGGTTGGACACCTGCTACATGTCCCTACTTCCTGGCTTAGCCAGGCTCAAGTGCCTGGATGCAGCCAAGGACCTGTGCACCTAGGAGCCTAGGAGGAGCGTGAAGAGGGCTCACACTCCTGAGTATCCCACGTCCTAGAAATTTCCCTTTGGGAAACTGATGTGGAGGAGATTTTAACCCCAAAAGGAGAGGGGTGAGTGCAGACTGCCCCCCATCTGTTTGGATTTTCCACTTAGATGCTCCACAGTTGTTCCTTCCAGGGAGCACATGTTCACCGGAAGCCCAACTGCAGCAGAAGGATCCACGAGTGCTTGGAATCAAGGATGACTGGAAGGTGTTCCCATGCCCCCAGGCTCTGGGGGGCTGCTGTGGCTGCTAAACTGACCGCACAGACCTGGTCAACAAGGAGGTGGAGGAGGGGAGAACCCCTTTAATTCCTGGCCCAGGATCTGGAACATCTGCAGGGCAGTTTTGGAGAACTCCAGACTCTTGGGCAGAGGCAACGAAATCTCCAACTGCGGAGATGCCAACCTGTTTGACTCATATGCCCTTGTCTACAGCCAATTAGTACTGCACGGTTTCTTCAGCGATCCCCTTTTGGACCCAACATTATTATTTGATGGCTGGGAGTCTTCTCTGTGAGAGCTATGGAAAGAATACCTCAGTTTTTCACCCTTTTTTTTTTGTGTGTGTATAAGCTGGTGAGATGTCCTCAGCTTTCCTGGGGTCGTTGCTATTCCCCCAAAAGATGAAAGAACAACTCCAATACCACCATCCCACTCCCATTTGGTTTTGTTTTTAACACAATAATGTTTTTCCCTGGAAGATTCTTCTTTGGAGAAAGTCTGTATTTTTTAATTGGTAAGCTGTCTGAGTATCTGATGATACTGCAGGAACCCAGGCAGATCTGCCTTCCTAGGTCTAGAGACCAATCCCTGCAGACCCAGAACAGAGCCAGAGCAGCCACTGTCCCTACAGTGGAAGGGGAGGCCGTCTCCCACCCTCCTGGGGGCACCTCCTGGGCTGTGAGATGCTGACTGGGCTCTCTGGGATTCTGGAAGGACTCAGGCAGGCCTTCCCCTTGGACTTGGTTGAGATCCAGGGGGCCACTGATGCACCTAACGGCTGCAGTAGTTACCACCTACTTCTCCTCTCTCAAAGCGAGCAAGGCATTTAGGGGGACAAAAACAGTTTATGTCACTGGTAATTAATTGCAGCAATTGGCAGACTTCCTGAGAGGACCAAGGAGAGCTACAGAAACTGCGCTTAGCTTCCTTGTGGTAGAAGCCAGCTACAGGATTCTTCCAACTGTACTCTGGCAGAAGCGTGAGCCCTTTCCTTTTTTCTTCCCATCTCCTAAATCTCCACACTCATGCCCTCGTTCGGAGATGAGACTTCTGGGACTTCAGACGCCTGCTGGGGACCTTGAGGGTGTGCAGGGAGCTCTGGACGGGCTCTGGTTCCTCAGGGCAACCAGAGCACCACTTTCTCCCCGAGGACTCTGGGCCAGGTGCGTGAAAACCTCGCCTCAAAATCCTGGCTCCAGGAGATGAGGAGATGTAGTCTATCAGCCTCCAGGGCAAAACACTCCACATCTAGAAAAGTTCTGCACCGCTTCCAGCCAGCAGGGGCTGGAAGAGCCTTCATCCCCCCCCACACCACCCCCGTTGGTACCGAAATTCCTGAGGTTACATCAATCACTGCCCCTGGAATGAAAACCGATCAGCTTATTAATAATGTCGCTAGAGCCCTTCAGAAAACGCCAACCCCCAAAATCTCCAGTAAGAACTGGAACGAAACCCATCCACCTGAGATGGGTATTTCTGGGCTTCAAAGACAACAGGACCATGATAAGCTTAACTTTCCTACCCAGCATATGATAGTATTAGGCAGGCCTTAATATTGGGCTGACCACAGTACCAGACTGGCATGGTTCTGTAGAGCCACAGATTCGTTTCGTTTCATTTAGGGAATGTATTTGCAAAGCAAAACTTTCCCCCTATTCTAAACAAATCTATAGGAAGAGGCACTCTCATTTATTCCAGGATTAAGTGGAGAAAGGCACAGAGAGGCCCGCTTGGGCTGGGTTAGCGCCCTCATTCTGGCCTGGGCGTGTGCGACTGCCTGGAACCCGGGCCTGCGCACCTTCCCGCTTCGAGAGGATTTACATTTTTATTTTTCTCCTTTCTTTTCAAGGCCAGCGTGGAAAGTGGGCTTCCTGTGAGGTGTGCTCTTTGCTGGAACACACTCACGCTTCCCTCCAGTGAGAAGGGTGGAGCCGGGCAAAGGTGGCGGGTTATCCCAAACTTCGCACCGCGGAGTGCGCTGGAGCGGGACTTGGAATCTCCAGGGTGGCGGGGCCACGTAGGTGTCCCAAGACCGCAGCGCTCTCGGCCTGGCCCTAAGGCTACACGCGGGCTTCGGGAGCTAA